GCGTGTGTATATATTATGTGTGTGTGTCTGTGTGTGTGTGTGTGTGTGTGTGTGTGTGTGTGTGTGTGTGTGTGTGTGTGTGTGTGTGTGTGTGTGTGTGTGTGTGTGGGTGTGTGTGTGGCGGATGGGGGAGGGTTTGATCGAGTAAGGGATGAGTAAGCGTACACAGCCTGGCACTCGCGAGGTCAAGGTGTCGTAAGGGTAGGCGACCGAAGGAAGTCGTACATTTCTTTGTCGAGGCGATGACAGAAGCGCCGCGGGCCACGGCGCAGCTAGTGGCCGCTGCCGTAGTCTCGTGGGTCGGTAGCGCCGCTGCCGCCCACGCACACGCGCCCACGCTCAACCCGCGGCGCACCTCGTACGCATGCCGCGCATTTTTTCTGGGTGATTTCACCGGTGCGCTGCTACTGCTGCTGCTGCTGATGATGATGTTGCTGCTGCTGCTGCTGCTGCTGCTACTACTGCTGCTGCTGATGTTGCTGCTGCTGCTGCTACTGCTGCTGCTGCTACTGCTGCTACTGCTGCTACTGCTGCTGCGGCTGTTACTGCTACTGCTGCTACTGCTACTGCTGCTTCTGGTGCTATTGCTGCTGCTACTGCTGCTGTCACTAGCGGTGACTGCGACCCCGATCTAGTACGGTGGCCCAAATGGTTATTAAATTCTTCACCAACGGGCTGGGGACATGCTTATCAGTAACTCGTTGCTTGATGCGATATAGCTAGGGATAATATAATATGATTAGGAGATATATGATACCTATTTGGGCCACCGCGGCGGAGACCGGTGAATCGGTGGCAGCTATGCCACGTGTAGCCGATAGCACGGAAAAGACAGAAATACTCGGAGGTTTCCTATCAATGCGCGTCAATTTTAGACCGATCATAAGTGTTGTTCCTGCTGAAATAACTGAGCCCGGGACTCTAAACACGGCTCTAAAGGAGGTTGGGGCCGGCATTGACCCCGATTATTAGCCTGTAGGAAGAGCAGCGGCAGCGGCAGTGGCGGCGGCGGCGGTGCAGGCCGTCACACGCTGAACGTACGGAGCGATATAAACGCAGACCGTATACCGTCAACGATAAACTAGCCGTAAATTAAGCCACCAAGCATGAGGCATGCGCGGAGACACGGCAGCCTGATTTGCCGAACGTGCGCGAGCACAATGCAAACATTTCACGCGTCACGACAAACATGTAACCGCTTTATAGTAACCGCCTCTCCAATCGTATAAGCGATTGTCAGTATATGCGCGAAGCACGTAACAACAGTGTTAGTAAACATTTTTAGCCGAGGCTTCGGCGCACTTATTGGAACAATCATGTAGAAATATAAGTCGACAGTAGCTAGAATGAAACGAGTCTTTCACCCATATAACGACGGCACAACTGCTATACTAGCGGCTGCGATTTCTTTCTTATAATGCTGTTTATATATTGAAAACAGCGCATGAACGAACATAATTGTTTAAAATCACAGGATAAAATCGTAACATAACTGGAGTAAATTAATGATATGTAATAATCGCAAAAGAATACTGTATCATAACAGGAATAGCAGCACCATAACGCATAGCAACCGCCCTAGCCAGCTGGGGAGGTTGCTATGCACGTACGCGCTGCAACATACGAACGAAATTGCAATCACACACAATATTTACTTGATAATATAAATTATAGTCGTGAATATTTGGTATTGGAACACAACATAGATCGGTTCACTGCACAAATCGGCGCAGATTACATCCTTCTGGTCTGGATAACGCTCGGTGTCATCAATTCGAAAACTCTATCTAACATTGTCGAATATACGCGAATTCTTGTAATCTCTTTGCATTGAATGCATCGCTTTCACCTGTATGTCACTCCAAATGACAGTAGACACGGTGAGTTCCTTCATTACTTCATTATCACAGATTATACCAGATATGACTCTGCATCACCGACATGACTAATAACCATAGCTAACTATTAAATACAAACCAACTACAATTTTATATATATATATATATAAACCAGCGTCCAAATATACCATTTTGCAGGTTTTGAATAACTCGACAGTGAAATCTTCAGTATACTATTCTGCTGAGTGGTAATGGATGTATATAGGGCCTACTCCATTACCACTCAGCGGTTACCATAATATAGTGTTGCTGTTTCTGCATAAAGCCGCCCGAAAACAAGGGCCATCTAAGAACAGCAGCATAGTATTTACCTCTGCATCCTCCGATAGCAGTCTAATGATGAAACATTAGAGCACGCATTTCAATGTCAAAACAGCCCTCGCTTCGAAGCGTGGACACACGATCCATTTGTATAAAGCCGATGCGCTCAATAAGCCTCCTTTGTTCGTGAGTGAAGGATAAATTCCACGAAGCGAATAAGACACCGGAGAATGATTGAGAGTAGATTGACGGACCCGCTAATCATTGGTGCTTGCAGATTAATGTCCGACTGTTGCCTTTGAGCCTGTAAATGCAACGACACTGTTAGAACCTTAGAGAGCACAATGTGATCTAAGACGATGAGCTAGGCGTTGAACATTTACATTTTAGGGAGATTCATCGGTTTATGATTTTTGCAACATAATCACGATTTGAGTCTATATTCCTCACGTTATACGACAATGCGACGGTGATTTGTCAAAAACGCCATTTCTCCATAGGCATCGGACACGTCAGTGATATGACGTACTAGCTGGTGTGTTTTCATGATGTTTGGGAAGGAAAGCGTTTGTTTCGCAGTGGAGACACGCGCGAGGAAGGGAGCAAGATTTGTTTCACAACGGTGGTGCAGGCGTTGGAGACAGTCTGAGATGTTATGTCTATAAGCGACCTGTAATACTAAGCTGCAATTTCATCGTCGTCTCACATATCCCACGCCTGCCCTAGCGGCTCCGGTTTCTTTTTGCGACGTAAGTGAGACCAATGACTTGCTGAATGGTGCAGAATTTATCCACGAGGAGGAAGTGAGGAGAACGAAACACACGGCGTGAGGAAAACGAAGCAGCGGTGATGGAGGTGGATGAGGAAAGGGTATGAGAGTAGATGGGTAAATGAAATTGAAAGTATTTGGCAGGGAGACGGTATGGGAATAGCAGATGATAGAGGTGATGGCGGTGTCTCATGATGGAGACAATTAAATTAAATTAAATTAAATTTTATATATAAATAAATAAATAAATATATATATATATATATATATATAAATTCTAATTAAAATTTAAGAAAAGTCGATAGTTAACATCGTCGTGCCGTGTGATAGAAAAACAATGTTGTGGGCGTAGAAGTCAGTAGAGCTGATGAGGTCACCGAATGAGAAAGAGGGCGTATGTACTCCCTATGGAAAAAAGGAGATTAGAGAGCATCTCTATCTACACCGACTCCTCGCTTCCCGACGCTCCGGAAAGCACGACTTCCGCCCAACTGTCTGTCATCTCACGGCGGCATGTGTGCGCCGGGTTGGATTTCTTTTCGCGCTGCACGTATAAGGTTGAGTCACTCTCTAACAGCTGCATATCGGACTCCCGTAGGTCTAATCATCGTAGCCCCGTCTGATCGTCAGCCCTTCGCTCCGATTTAAATAGTTGACCTCGTACTCGGTAACCTATAAGCACGCCGGTCTCTCGCGACGTCGGTCATAGAATCGAAAGTTCGCGCCCAGCCCAAAAGGAGATGATATTTCCTTCTCACACCCCCTCCTTCCTTCCGCGGCACGCGGGAGGCGGTCATCGCGGTGTGCGGGGGAACCCTCGCGTGGACGATGATGATGACTCATGCGATGCGTCGGTGGGGGGGTGTGTGTGTGTACGTGGCGGGATCGCTGCCCGCCACATGTTTTACGGGAGCGCGCGCTCGCAGTGAGTCACACCGCTCACTACTAGCTTACGCGCGCCGTTCTCTGGTGGGAGGTCAGGTAGTTTTACACGATGGGCCTGGCCGTGCCCATCCCGAGGCGTGCGGGGCGCTTGCACGCGGTGGGGGGGGGGATGCGTCGCAACAGTGTTGGCAGGGCCGTAGCCTGTGTAGGGCAAGAGGGGCAGCTGCCCCCCTAGCTTTTGGAGCAAAATAAAAAAAAGCTGAGCTAATAATCGTAAATAATTTTGGGGTCACTTATCCGTGAAAGCCTTGTCTCAGACCCACCTCTACCACACTATGAACGTCGATCAAGAGCTGAACACTGAACACTCGCTCATCATTACACAGTTGAGTCATTAAATTTTGCCCCCCCCCCAAGAATCTGCTACGGCCCTGGTTGGTGATGCGCAGCTTGCGCTACGCGATGCATCATAGCCTGGCTTCACTATACGCTATAAATTCCGCTGTGAAACTAACGAATTTTTCCTTCCGAAATTAAACACATCTCGCGATCGACTCACACCCGGAAGCTTGCCAGTTACCCGCACTGGTTGATGCTTAATGAGTCAAGCTGCAGTTCGGTATAGCGTTGTTAATGTGCTACCCGCACTGGTTTATGCTTAGTGAGTCAATCCGCAGTTCGGTATAGCGTTGTTAACATGCTACCCGCACTGGTTTATGCTTAGCAAAGTCAAGCTGCAGTTCGGTATATAGCGTTGTTAACATGCTATCCGCACTGGTTTATGCTTAGTGAGTCAATCCGCAGTTCGGTATATATAGCGTTCCTAATGTGCTACCCGCACTGGTTTATGCACCGCAACTGTATGGCTCGGTTTAGCGTTGCTATTGTTGTATCGTAGGGCTGCGGGCTAATTAGGGCTTTGCGACTAATTGTCTAAATTTCTAACTCTAGCTAGTTATTGTTGTTATTGAAATGTAACCCACCGCGAGCACCCTAACCCCATAGACACAAACGGTGATTGGCCGGGGGTAGGATTGAAATGTCGCTGGGCGGTTTTCGGAAACATATAAATAGACACGGACGAAAGATCAAAAAGTTACCTACCCAGAAGACGTACGTGAGTACGGACTTTCCTATCAAGATGTAGCGGACCAAGTCGAAACACGGGGCTTTAAGTTTAAAGATAGAAGTTTAGACAATAAGTCGCAAAGCCCTAATTAGCCCGCAGCCCTACGATGCAACACTATTGTACGCGGGCTATATAAGAGCGGGTTTCGCGCCAGCATCGTTAGGTGAGAAGTGCTCACCGATCATTCGTGCTCGGCTCTCCTGTCTGCCTCCTCCTGCTGGCATTGCCGATGTCGTTCCTCCATCGACCTCAGCCGTTCGCTCTGTCTGTCCAGCTGTTCCTGCAGCCGGGCCGCTTCCGCCTGCAAGAGACGATAACATCGACAGTCAACAACGACTAACACATCACGCTGAACTCCTCATGCATACAGCTATTAAATTGATCATATCTCAAATAACCTCAAACAAATCGAAAACGGTTGAGAGAAAAACACGAGAAATACTCGCTTTAATAATAATAATAATAATAATAATAATAATAATAATAATAGTAATAATAATTATATTTTTTTAAATCCTTTCCGCGCCTATGTGGCGCATAGTTATCTCCGTTTCCTTAACCCGAGGCTATAATACTAATATTAATATACGAATAATATACACACACATAATATATTCAACTTAATATATTATTATTATTATTATTATATTATATTATATAACTACACCATCAGCGCACAACCTGTCTTGCACGCTGTCCCTATTCATATATGTAAATTCTCGTTTTCCTTTACTCTCTTTCTCTCCCTCCTTTACATTCTTCCCCTCACCTTCACACACGCATGCACGTTCGTACGCATGCACTTATTCAAGCTTGCACACAAGCACGTACATACGCACGTATTCTCTCTCTCCACCCCTCTCTTCATCGATCTATATGTCTGAGTAAAACATGGGGATGCCGCAAAAGAGTGAGAACGCAGATATGATTATTACAATAAGTAATGGTAAAACTAGATGTATCTCCATTTAGCCGATTCTTTTAAATGTTTACAAAAGCAGTTTTAAATCTGTATATACGTGGGACACAATATTTATATATTGAATAATCAAACACTCCATGCATGCTTTTACGCACTCACCAACAAGACCTACTTCGTACATGAACTCACACACGAATCAGAATCTGTCGTTGTAATTAGAATAAAAAAATATACCTAATGTATGGCCTATATACGTGTGTAATAATGATCCAGTTACATACTGTCACACACACGCGCACCCACATACACACACGCACGCACGCATGCACTCACGCGCACGCACACCCACACGCACACACGCATGCACTCACGCACGCGCACGCACACCTACCCAAACTCACGCACGCCCGCACGCACGCGCGCACACACATATGCACACCCTTACGCACGCACGCATCCCGGTACGAATTGGCACGGACACACAAACGCACACACACGCACACATCGCTCTCACGTACCTCGCCGACATAGCTCGGCAGGGTTTCTCGTCTATCATAGTCACTGAGCTAGTAGTTATACACAGCCGTACGATATTCGGTGTGCTATAAGTGTGACAACAAGCAATTATAAAAAAAAATATCATTCCTAATATAACATACAGCGCGGGCGTTTGTGAGACGCAACAAAAAACGCTACATTTGAATTCGCATGATCGATATATATATATCTAGTAATTACGTCGTCGTTTTATCACCACAAATAAATTGAACTAGAAACGCCACAATGGTAACCTGTGGTAACGTGGCACGGGTTACCAGTCTGGCGCGAGGTAACCATGGACGGTTGATTCAGTGGTTGAACTCAGCAGCAAAGACTAATTACGTCATATCGATTGAAAGTGAACTAGCAAGGTGACAGCATCCAATGTACTCCCGTACAACAACAAAAATGCATAGTTGAATGATGTATCGAATACGACCGAAATAGAATCAACCCTGTGAATTCTGCGAAGCAAGTACAGCCATCGAGGCAGTCTGCGTAATGTTCAAAACGACAAGGAAAAAACAAAAAACATTTTATTGTGGGTGTTGTTAAGCGAATGTTGCCGCATAATATCTCAAGTTTGTACAGCACCAGCAAATTAGAAAGATCAAGTAAAGGCCAATCAAATCGCAAAGATTTTAAAATTTTAAAATGAATTTTTTTTTCAAATGTATGAAAAACTGTAGTAGGCCTATCTATTGCGCGTGAGTGTTAACCAAATCGCAAGTCACTTAAACGTAACCGGCTAGGAGACAGTAAACGGCTAGTGGGTTGGATCATCATAGATGATAATGAGAGTTTGTACCCCGACGTAGCCACAGGCACTTGGAGCGTTTCAATAAAATATAATGCTAAATAAATACGAAATCTATTTACTACCAAAGTCTTACTACTTCTCTACTCTAGCTCTTTCACCTATTATTGCCGACAATTTCCTGTAAATGCCGTCCAAATGCTCATCTGCAACACACGCTGGCCACCGCACGCTAGCTGCTGCACACTGACACATAAATATATAGCCTGTATAAACTATATTAT